AATTTTGTTGAGGATTTTTGCATCTATGTTCATCAGTGATATTGGCCTGTAGTTTTCTTTTTTTGTGGTATCTTTGTCTGGTTTTGATATCAGGGTGGTGGTGGCCTCATAGAATGAGTTTGGAAGTTTACCTTTCTCTGCAATTTTCTGGAAGAAAATTTTTGGTAGAATTCACCTGTGAAGTCATCTGGTCCTGGGCTTTTGTTTGTTGGAAGATTTTTTATTACAGTTTTGATTTCTGTGCTTGTGATGGGTCTGTTAAGATTTTCTATTTCTTCCTGGTTCAGTTTTGGAAGGTTATACTTTTTAAAGACCTCATCCATTTCTTCCAAGTTGTCCATTTTATTGTCATATGGTTGCTGATAGTAGTCTCTTATGATCCTTTGTATTTCTTTGTTGTCTGCTGTGATTTCTCCATTTTTCATTTCTATATTTTTTTTTTTTTATTCTCCCTTTTTTTGTTGATGAGTCTGGCTAATGGTTTTTCTGTTTTATTTATCTTCTCAAAGAAGCAACTTTTGGCTTTGTTGATCTTTACTGTAGCCTTTGTTTCTTTTTCATTTACTACTGCCCTAAGTTCTATGATTTCTTTTCTTCTACTAATCCTGGGGTTCTTCATTTCTCTGTCCAGTTGCTTCAGGCATAAAGGTAGGTTACTATCTGACTTTCTCTTGTTTCTGGAGGTCAGCCTGTGTTGTGTTGTCCCCCAGGACCCCTTCTTGTTTCCACTCCTGCTGCTCCTTCTTGGTGTCCTCTGCTTGTTCCTTCTCGTCTCCTCCATCTTTATTTTTTCTACTATGCCTCGGGGCTCAGGCCTGGAACTTCTCTCTCTTCAAGGACATCTGTGAGCAGGCCAGTGGCAGCTCCACCCATCCAGTTTGCTGTCTAAAATCTCCCCGAGTTGTCTCTGATGTCCTCTTTCACCGCACACCTCCTCTGTTAGCTCAGCTCACCATGAGTCCAGTCTGCCGCCTTCCCGGCATCTCCTCTTCTGCTCCTGGTTCCCTGGAGCCTCTTCTGGAGCTTCCGGCTCCCTGCTTCTGCAGCGCGCCCCTCCTTCTCCCCACAGCCTGTTTGCTCACTGGGAGAGTAAGAGGGATAACGTCACTTCTGAGGGGAGTGTGATGCCGACCCCCCATCTTACCCACAGCAGAAGGGAGGGTCCTGAGGACAGCCTCAGAGCTGCGTGTGCCTGGTTTCTGGCTCTTGCTCTCCCACAGGCCTCCTTAGTGCTCCCTGACTTGCCTGTCAGGTCCCTCCCCACAACCCCCGACCCCCAAGAACAACAAGACTGGGCGCTCCTCCCCCACACACGCTAGCTACCCTCTGCATCCTTTATTTCTCTCTTAGCGCTAACACTGTCCAAGTTACTCAGCATTTTACTTAGGTCTGTATTTTGTCTGTTTCCACACTAGGATGTAATCTCTCTGAAGGGGGTTTCCTCTGCTTTGTTCACTGTTGCAGCCACAGAACCCAGAGCAGGGCACGTAGTATGTGCTCAGTAAATGGTGGCTGAGTGAATGACCAGGTGAACAAAAGGATGTGTTCTGTCATGAAACGCAGAGTTAAAGGCTGGCGGAGCTTGTCATTTCGAATGTGACAGCGTGCTTTATTTGAGAAATTAGAGAGAAAAGAGTTGGAAGGTGTCTTTCAACAAAATATGTCTATATTTGGGAGAATAAAAATCTGGCAATCCATTACAATACTGACTTTTCTCTCCAATGCCTTCTCTCTTCCCCTTTCAAAACGATTTCCTGGTCTAAAAAATTCAGAAGTATGGGAATCACTATTATAGATGATTCAAAAAATGTGACAGTTAAGGAAAGAAGAAATAAGAGACAAAACATTGTAGAGGATACATACATGCTTGGGGGAGGTTGTTTGTTTTTAATTTTTTTTTAAGAGACTTGCCTGTACAGTAAAAGACCTGTTTACCCAATGGAATTCAAGTTACAATTAATGGATTGTTTATAAAGAGTTTAATATACAAGGAAACCACTAAGAAATGACATGCATACCTTAACAGTTTAACACAAGACAGGTTTTTGTTTTTGTTTTTGTTTTATTGTTACGGAACCATTAAATACAACTTATAAACAAGCCAGGACGGCATTGGGTGGGGGGGAGACGGAGCAGGTCACGGAGGCCAGAGAGGGTCAGGGTGGCGCGGTCCGGGCTCGGCCCTGGCGGGGGCTCAGGCTGCGGTTGCCGGAGGGGCTGGGCTGACGGAGGCCTGGCTGCTTGTGGAGGCCTCGCAGCTTCGCCAGCAGCTCCTGGATGAAGTCCTCTGTGGGGTTCGTGCACGACTTTAGGAGTCCCTGGATTTTCCGGCTTCTCTCTTCTTCACTCTCTAATTCCAACAATTCATCGATGTTGACCTCATCGGGCATGTCTGCCTCCCTGCCGTGGTACAGCTCCTCCAAGCGCCCGTCGATCCACTTCTCCACGTCCAGCAGCCGCTGCAGCCCTTGCCGGTCATACTTGACGGTGACGCGCGCGTGCCGCTTCTGCAGCCGCCCGGGGCTGCCCCCCGGCCCCCGGGCCCGTGATGGAGCCTGCAGCCTGCCCAGCCGCTGCGCTTCCATGGTGGTCCTGGCCCCGGCCCTGGCGCTGCGCTGTGCGCTTTCGCCGGGCGCCCAGGGGGCCTCTTATGGGCCGGGGCGGGACCGGCTCGGGGCGGGACCGGCTGGGGGCGGGGGCTCGGGCTCGCCCCCGCCCCGACTGCCCCACCCCGACCGCCCCAGGCCTCAGTTTCCCCGCCTGCAGCGCTAGGACTGGCCGCTGCGCCCTCGGGAAGCCAGCGGCTGTTGCTGGTTCCAACACGAGACAGTTTTATATTCCCTGTCAATATCTCACTGGGAGAGGGCATTCTGATGAGATGCCGTTCTACCCTCGTCCATAAACTGAGCTCACATTGTGTGACTTGCCTTTCACAGCTTTGGTTTCTTCAAAGTGGGATGAGAACTCTAGACACATGAAAAGCAGTCTGAGGCTGGAAACTTTTTAGTTTATCCAGATTTCCCCCAAGTTTTCAGGTTTCATCTTAGTCCACGTGTTCTTCAGTGACTGCCTAGACCAAATGTTCAAGGTCTACCATTTCTAGAAAACTAATAAAAATTTCTGCATATATTGCTGCATTGAATAAATCAGTGGAAATGATAGCCTTGCCGAAGCTATAAGTGTTTATTAGTCTTCATGAAGCATCCACTTGCAGTGTGAACTTCCTGCCTGCCATTTGAGAAGAAATGTGCACTGATGCAGAGTAGTCTCAGGGCTTTAGTTCCAGCTTTGTGGTGGTGGGTTTTTTTGTTGTTGTTTGTTCGTTTGTTTTTTAACATAAGGCAATTCTCTGTTGAAAATAGGGGTAGTAGAAATCAGGCCTTCATAAGAGGATTGGTGTTGGTATTTGCAGAGTGCTTTGGATTCCCCTAAACAGACACATTAACAAATAAACACACTGATTATATTTACTCTGCAGGGAACACTATTAATAATGGATTATATTGTTTCTTTGAGCTTATTGATGCTTTTAATTAGGAGGAAAGGATATGTAAAACTATGAATTTTCTTGGATTCAGCTATTCGTTTTTGCAGTGTGATATTTTGCATAGCTTAATGGAATATTGGAGCCTATTCAGATTTTTAAAATTATATCTTAATTTTATGTGCTGTGAAATCTTACTCATAATACATGACTTTTCAATGTCATTCTTCTGTCAAAACACGTGTCTACTTCTTGCACTCCTTATCCTCTCCTGACCTCTGCTGGTGAGGTTGAGGAGTGCGTGGCATGGCCCAGCTGTCTAAAGTCACACATCCTAATATTCAAAAAAACATCTGAAGACTTGAACTTCTGTAAAGTTCTAAGATTTCTTATTCTAGAAGAGAAGACTGCTTAATATTCATCCATGCACTGTATATATGGTTAGCCTTTACTGTGTAGGTTATTGATCATGTTAGGAGCAGGAGGAGTGTTGGACCCAATACAGGGTTACTTCATACTGGGTGGGTCATGCAGCATTTGTTAAGTACTTCCTGTTTAATTAGTTCTGCATGGGCTTAAAGTATAGTATCACTAGAGATTGAGGCAACAAAGAAGATATTGGTCCCATTTTTCATCCTTAAACCCTGCTTGCCCCACTGTGAGGGGCCAGTCTTGATTCAGAGGAGATATCAATTTTAAGATGATCAGGTATCAGACTGCAAGCTTCAGATGGAAACTTTTCCTTTTGATATGTGTTGGTGTGACATTCTCAGGGGAGTAGAATTTTCTTGTGCTGGGGTCTCCTGTGTGATTTTAAAAACTGCAATGATGAGCACATCTAATAGCCATTCCCCCTGAAAAAGTACCCCTGTTTCTTTAAAGAAATGGATGATCTAGGTCTAGGATAGAAAAAGTATAACGTGAACCTGAATTAATTTGCATCAGATCGGGCATGTCTAAAGGATCCACTTGAAGAGGGACATCTACAACCAGGTAAGAGGCAGTCCAACCAAATTTGGGACGACTTGAGCCTCAAAAGTAATAATGATGATAATAATGGATTATAACACATTGAATGAATAAAATAGTTCTTTACACCATCAGTTCAGTTCAGTCGCTTAGTCATGTCTGACTCTTTGTGACCCCATGGAGTGCAGCATGCCAGTCCTCCTTGTCCATCACCAACTCCCGGGAGTTTACTCAAACTTGTGTCCATTGAGTCAGTGATGCCATCCAACTATCTCATCCTCTGTCGTCCCCTTCTCCTTCTGCCTTCAATTTTTCCCAGCATCAGGGTCTTTTCAGATGAGTCAGTTCTTCGCATCAGTTGGCCAAAGTATTGGAATTTCAGCTTCAACATCAGTCCTTCCAATGAATATTCAGGACTGATTTTCTTTAGGATGGACTGGTTGGATCTCCTTGCAGTACAAGGGACTCTTAAGAGTCTTCTCCAGCACCACAGTTCAAAAGCATGAATTCTGTGGCACTCAACTTTCATTATAGTCCAACTCACATCCATACATGACTACTGGAAAAACCATAGCCTTGACTAGACTATCTTTACACCATAGTGATATTACAAATTGGAAAGGACTCAGGAGGGAAAACATTTTAATAGAAAAATATCAGTTAGTAATATAGAAAGAATGAGATGAAAAAAACCCACAAAAATGATAAAAAAAAAATTACCACACACACATGAAAAAGTTAAAAAACCATTTTACCACCATCAGAATCAGAATTGATTCAGGCAGAAATTATAGTGGATGAGAAGATCACTGAGCAGAGTTGTTAAGGAGCAGGATGTCCATGTTATCTTAAAGTGCACCACCCAGATTACATATTAGATGCAAAAGGGAATGTCTCTGTTAACAGAGAAGTTGGGCAAATACCACTTAACCAAGGCATCAAAAGTTACATCACAGATAATGATACAGATCAGCATGAGCTGTCAGTGGATGCCATAAGGACACAAAATCTGTTATGTAGTATTCCCACCAAAATCTCAGGGAAACAATTAGATGAAGTCAGATAGTGCAGACTAGACGCTTCAAAAATCAACATCATGAAAGACAAAAGCCAAGAGACTGTTCTAGAGTAAAGGGAACTAAAGAGATGTCTTCTCTCCACCCCACCTAAAGAAAAACAGCTTTACAGACACTTTTGAGACTAGTGGGGAGTTTGGTATATGGATGGTTTGTTACCAAATAATGAACCAGTTTTAAATTTCTTGAAGGAGTGTGATAGTGGTGCTATGATTATATAGGATAATGTGTCTTATTCTTAGGTAAATATTTGGAGTGTTCATGATGTCTGTGATTTTCTAATAGCTCAGTGCACCCCCCCAATAAAAAAGCACCCCAATATAAATAGATTAAATCTGGCAAAATGTTAGTAGTTGATGGATTTTGCTGAAGCATATATGGTGCATTGGTCTTCCAACTTTCTGCAGGTTTGAAATGTTTCAGTAAAAATTAGAGAAAGTAAGATGTAGGTGTAGAAAGTCAACAGAGTTATTTAATAGCAGTTTTGTATAGATCCCTAACAGAGGCATGAAAATACATTGTGTGTTGGGGATGACAGATAGTTCAAGATGACCAGGTCATCAGAGTAGCAGAAAACTAGAAGGTGAGTTTGTGTCATCCTGTGTTAGAGCATTGAACTTTAATTGTAGATAATGGGTAGTTGTTGAAGGATTTTTTAAACTGGGACTCACTTATAAGGTCACAGCAGTGTGGAGGCTGGCTTGAGGCCACTCAGAGCTGCCTGTGAGTTCTTGCCCTTGTCTAGGGATGAGCATTGCCCCCACCCCCACCCCCCAGAACCGGCAGAGGACGCGATGGAAGCAGGAGACATGGGTGGGACCAGCAGAGTGCAGTTTGGGTCTGGAAGGAAGATAAATGGAAGACGGAAAAGCTCAGCTTTTAGGCTGATTGACTTAGTGGCTGGTGGTGCTGTTAATTCACAGTAGGGAAGGGAGGGGTGGTAGCACCATGTTTAGGGAAGTCCTTTTGGATGTGTGGAGTTGGACATGTCTGCTGAACTTTTAGGTGTGGTTCTACCTTGCTGCTCTTATTCTAGTGTCTTGGTGTCAGTGAGTCCACGGCAAGCCTTTTTTTCTAGAGCATTTAAGTTCATATTTGTCACATGTGTTTTCAGAATAAATTCTGGAGTTGCTAAGCTGTAGCATCTTTGCTGATAAAGTATATTTTATCCGCTTATTACAGATTCATGAGTGCATTCAAATCTGGTGTAGTTGATCTGACAGCAATACAGAGTTAACACTTAAGCCCTATGGAATACCAATGTATAATTTTATACTGGTGTATAATTTTAAAATCTTACAGCCTGGGAGCTTTACCCAAAGTTTTTCCTTTTTTTGCTGTAGGGGAAAGAAAAGCAACTTAATCGTTCTTAAAATTGTGCATGTGTGTTTTATGCTTGCATGTAAGAATGTGAAGCATTTAAAATAATCTCTCTGTATATATGATGAGCGTTAGAACACAAAAATGTGCCTTTTAAAAAAAGGGATAGCTGTTTCTTAAAGTGAGTTATTGACAATTTAATAGTCATAAAAAGGAAAGATAGCAGGAGACCTGCTAGATCTCAGCAGGGTTTTTCCTGGCAAAGTATATGTTATTATGCTCTTGGGTTGGCTTGAATTATTTGGTGCTTTCCTGTTGGTGGAGAAAGGGATTGAGCTTTGAGGAAGTCAGGGGAGGAAGTGCGGAACAGTCAAGTGACTGAATGGCTCCTTAGATCAGTCTTAATTTTTCACAGCTTGGCCTTCTCTGAAGTCACATTTAGCAGAAACATTAATTAGATTTCAGTGCCCTGCTGAGGTTTAAAATTAAACATATTTCTGGAACCATCTGTAGCATTTTATCACTAATAATATAATGAAGAATATGCTTAATCTTTTGAAAAATGAGAATCATAACAGTATCTTTTGCTCACAAGTGATCATCTTTGGTTATGAAAAACCCATCAAAATTTTTAGCAGAGTAGAGAAGTAATTAAAGAGTTTTAAGGATATAATCCTCCCCCCAAAATTGCATAAAAATATTCTGATTGGTGAGAATCTTTTCCTAAATTCAGGATTTTCTTTGGGATTTTATGCTTCTTTTGCATCTAAAAATATTGATGGTGGGCCTGTGCCATCTGCCTTTTGGGGGCTGGATTTGTCCAAGAGCTGAGATTTCCCCCGAGGAGAGCCAGGACTGGGTGGAGGCAAGGGCCTAGGACACGGCGGCCCAGCGCACAGGTCCTGGGGCCGTACAGCCTGGCTTTGACCTGACCAGAGGGGAACGTGGAGAAGTCGGTTGGCTCCTTTGGGCCTCATAGGGTTGTAGTGAGCATACATTTTTGAGCATAAAATGTCCTTCAGAACTGTTCTTTCCTGTGTGGTCTTGTTTCCTTCGCTCTTTAGATGCACTTAATGCACTTACAGAGGCCTTCAGGGGAGAACATGCTGCCATCCAGGAGAATTAACAGAACAGCAGTAGCTCGCTTGCTCCTAGGAATTCTGTTGTTTTGTTCTCACAAAAGCTGATCACTAGGTGTGGACCCCGCGGCCCTTTCCCAGGCAGTGAGATGCCACAGGCACGTTGGCCTTCATGGAGGGAGGTGTCGCTGGGGGAAGGAGGTCAGGCGCGCAGCAGCGGGGGGCCGCCTGGACTGAGGAGAGACTCGCTTCCCTGATCGCGGCCTACCCTTGTGCTTTCTGAGTGTAGGCTGGGCCCGCAAAGGGAAGAAGAGAGGGCTGTACACCCAGGTCTTTTTTTCTGAATGTACCGACCAGATAAGTCACTCTACCACCATGAGAGTTAATAAGAGCTTGGAGGGCAGGCTGGAGGACTTAGGGAAAAATCCCTTCTCCTAGAAACCAGAGGGAGGGAGAAGCCTTTTCTCTACCATCTCCCCCGCTCCCTTAGCCCCCTCCGCCCCTTCCACCCTGTTCCCAGCTTCGCCCAGAATCTTAATTTAGTGACAGTCGAGACTGCCGACCGTGTGCTCGGCCTCAGCCCTGGAAGCACCCTTTTTTAGCCCCTGCGGTGCTGCATTGCCTGAGGAGTGTATCTGTCCGTGCTCTCTGAATTTTGCACTTGATGAAAACTCTGACGGTCTTTCAGCTCTTCGCTCATGCGCGCCTCCTCTGCCGTCCTGGGTGGGTACCATTGCTGCCGCCACAGGACTTGTCGCCCTCTCTGCCTCTAGGCCCAGCACTGCTTGTTCCCTGTCAGGTGCCCTTGAGCAGATGGTGAGCTTTCCCAAGGGCAGCAACAGTTGCTTTGTACAGTTTTCACTAGCATAATGCTAGTTATGTAATGATCTCCCAGTAATATCCAGTTCTTCTTTACAAAAACCACCTTTGTCACTGAAAGAATTAAAATGCCACAAGTTAGTACAGTGTTAAAGAAGAGAATGGAATTTTGAAGTTGTGTTTTTTGTTGCTTCATAAAGATGTTTCAAAATAATTTAAAATTTCCTTTTGGCTTAACTTTGTTTTTTTTTTTTTTTTAATTAGTTGGAGGCTAATTACTTTACATCATTACAGTAGTTTTTGTTATACATTGAAATGAATTAACTTTGTAAAATACCAAGTGCCTAGTCGCTCAGTCATGTCCGATTCTTTGTGACCCTATGGACTGTAGCCCGCCAGGCTCGTCTGTCCACGGGGATTCTCCAGGCAAGAATACTGGAGGGGGTTGCCATGCCCTTCTCCAGGGAAAATACCCAGAGTTAGATTAATTTGAAATGTTAGAAAATATGAGTGACTCCTCTGTCTTTACCTGTCTCTCCTGTGTGTTTTAACTTAAGCAAGAGAGTACTATTGATACAGCAGTAATCAAGTGTCCCAACTATTTTTTTAAAAGTGAAGATATTGGCTGTCCAATGTTGCATAACTTTTTTTGTAGTTCTTTTTTTCAGCAGCATTTTCCTTGACATTTTTTGGTAATTGTAAGTAAAAGAAGTCTGAAACAAACAATAATAGTGAATTTCAATTTTACTTTTAGCAAAAGCACCTGGAAATTGAAAGAACTACTAAATGGTTGAAAATGCTCAAAGGATGGGAAAAATACAAGAACACTGAAAAGGTAATTAAAATATTACTTCCTTATGAAAAATGCAAATTCAATGTGCATTTTCCCAGTAAAATTTCCTCTCTCATTATAAGAATATTACATGCATATCCTTTAAAAAATTTTTAATTTTAATTTAATTGAGTGAGTGAAGTGAAAGTCACTCAGCTGTGTCTGACTCTTTGCAACCCCATGGACTATAAAGTCCATGGAATTCTCCAGGCCAGAATACTGGAGTGGGTAGCCTTTCCCTTCCCTAGGGGATCTTCTCAATCCAGGGATCAAAGCCAGGTCTCCCGCATTGCAGGTGGATTCTTTACCAGCTGAGCCACAGGGAAGCCCCAGAACACCAGAGTGGGTATCCTATCCATTCTCCAGCGGATCTTCCTGACCCAGGAATCGAACCGTGGTCTCCTGCCTTGTAAGCGGATTTTTTACCAGCTGAGTTATTGGGGAAGCTCCTGAGTGGAATGCCTTAAATTAGGAGTCTCTGTGCTGTCACAGAATACCCAGTTTAGACTGGTTGCCGGAATTGAGAGGACGCGGTGGACAGCCCAGAGGTCAGCAGGCTCTCAGGGGTGACGGAATTCTGCCACTTGGTTACGTTGCTGCTTGTGGTTTCGTTTTTCCATCTCTGTCCTCTGCCTGCTGTGGTGTCAGCTTCCCGCTGAATGTGGCTTCCCTTTGGGGTCAGGATTATTGCAGTCACTCCAGGTTTGGTATCCATCTGTCTTGCTGCTCAGAAGGAGAGAAGTTTTGTTTTGAAAAGTGTTCGTGAACAGGAGCACGTCCTTGTCTTAAAGCATCTAGCAGATCTCCCTCCTAAATCTTTTTGCCCTGCATTGATTTTGGGCTACTCTAAATCAGTTTTTTTTAAATGCATACATCTATTAATATTCCTACTAATCTCATCAGGAAAGTCTTTAAATATTGTTAAGTTGTTAAGTTCCTAGTAGTCGAAGTTTTCCAAAATTCTTAACTTTTGCCCTTTCAAGCAAAAGTTGTCAGTGACAAAAATACTGTCAGGTATTTTCCTTAAGGGCTTCCCAGGTGGTTCAGTGGTAAAGAATCTGCCTGCCAATGCCAGAGACTCGAGTTTGTCCCCTGGATTGGGAAAATCCTTTGGAGAAGGAAATGGTAACCCACTCCAATATTCTTGCCTGGGAAATCCCTTGGAAAAGGAGCCTGGTGGGCTACAGTCCATGGGGTCACAAACAAGTTGGACATGACTTAGAGACTAAACAACGACAACAAATTTTCCTTAAAGTAACAGGCTTACTTTGTTTATTTTTTTTTTTAACTTCATTTATTTTTGAGCAACTGTCTGCTGAACACAAAAGTGTCAACAACCATGGTTTGTTAGTCAGTCATTTTTTCAGATTAGTGTCCTTGACAAAAGCAGTTGGTTCAGACTGCAGTTCAGTTTCATAAATGCTCTTACTTGAGGCTGGCACTGTGCTCTCTGTGTCTTGCCTCATGACCCAGAATATTAATAAGATGTGTGTTCAGGATTGAGATTGAGTGAAACTAATAGTTTCCACTGCTTCATTAAGGGCATTGCTAAGTGCACTGACCTCTGTTTTAAGCTGTGATCAAAGAACACAGTGACTGCCCGCACAGTGCTTCTCTTGCCTTAGTTTGTGCCGAGGTGCCAGGAGCTTCGGCTTTTATGAGGAGCCATGAACCTAAGGTTTTTCTGCTCCCAGTGCCAAAGTCAGCACAGGGAAAGAGGCCAGTAATGTTTTAGTGTCATTAAGAAAATAGTTTGCATGGCCCACGCCTTGAGAACTGCTGACTTTAGCTAAACCTCTGTTTCCTCATTTTGAAATGGAGATAATAATACCCATTTCAAAGAGATGAAGATTTCATGATTTTATGCATGTAAGCCATTAGGCATTATACCTCACATGTAGTAAGCATTCACTAGCAGTTTCTTGAAGGGAGGTTAGACAATTAAAAAAAAATTTTTTTAAGATAAAAAAAGAGATCTTCCATAACCCTACAACAAAACACTGAGTTAACTGTTCCTATTTTTGTCTGTTTCCTCACATTTTTTTCTGTGCAATATATATACATTTTCCTATTTACATAGATTTAAATTGTTGTGTGTCAGCCTTTGCCAACAAGATTTCCAGGGAGCATCAATTCCTTGGGTTCTAACAGGTATTTTTACATAGAAGCAGTATTGCCTACTGATTAAACAATAGACCATCCCAGGTTCAAACCCCAGCTCTGCCACGTTATTAGCCGTGTGACTTGGGGGAAGGTATTTAACCTTTTTTCTGCCTTAAAAGTCACAATACCTCTTTCACCGAGTTGTTTTGAGGATTAAATAAGATAATTCATGTAAAGCACAAAGAATAATGCCTGATATTTAATATGCAGTCAGTAAGTGTTGCTTGTTATTACATGAGAGAGAGGCTCTTTGGTTAAGTCATGTTGGGAAAATTAAAACTGAACAGAGGTAAGCAGGTTTCTTTACTACAGGACTCCTCAGCATCTTTAATATGTGGTAGAAATTTTCCAGAGGGACATTAAATTGCGTGACATTTATTCAACCTTGAAAATCTTTTTGTCACGGGGTATCTCCCAGGAATGACATCACTTTTCTTTTGGAGCATCCTAAATATCTCCACTTAAATTCCATTAGACGGTTACTATTTTATTTTCATCAGGAGTAAGTTCATTTCTGGGTTGCTAATTTTACTAAAATGTTTCAAGAAGAATCCGTTCAGAGTGGAATATTGGTCATGATCTCTGTGCTCTGGTTTAACAAACACTCTGCTTCTCAGACTGACCTAAAGCTGACAACTCCTTCACCTGATGTCATTGTGGAAAGATCTTTCAAGTGCTAATTACAGAATCAGTCTTGATGCATTGTACCTCTGCTTTAATCTCAGCTTCAGTCCAATAAAATACTTGTAGAATTACAGGACTTTATGTCCTTCTCTAGTATACATATGTCTGTGAAAGTATGTAAGCCTTTGTTAAAATGAGCGTTCTGCTAGGCTGTTATCCTGACAGCAACTCTGCTAATGTACTTCTCAGTGAGAGAGATTTTAATGGAGCTTTCTTTCATGTATCATTTTAAAGCACTTTCCCACAACTATAATGAATGCTAGAATTATTTGGTGATATATATGGTCCAATCTGGTATGAGGCAGAATGCACCTTCTAAAAGAATTGCTGCTCTCAGTTTATACCCAGTTTTAAATTACACTGAAGTTAAAAAATACTGTATATTTTTTTTTCTCTTCCAAAGGAAAGTATATGTTTTCTCTCAACAGAATCCTTACTTATGTGGTAGTAGTACAAAGAAATATCTATAAATATCTTGAAATAAAAATATGTAGGTCTGATAGAGAATATTTGTCTTTTTAGAATATAAGCTTTAATGAGAAAAATTGCCATTAAGTTTGCCTGTGTTTGCGCAGTGACTACTCTCTATGTGCAGTCACACTGTATTTTTTAAATGTAATCTATTAAATGAAGAGATGAAGTTATCTCTGCTGGCAGAGACCATTCTGATTTAGCTAGTCGTGATATTATTGTGTCTGAGCTCTGTCATAACAGAGTTCCTACAATGGATATATATATATACAGTGGTTTTTTTTTTGGTCAAATAACTGAATGAACCTTTGTTGGTCAGGTAACTGACAGACCTGTATTAACCAATATTAGATTCTACTGATGGGAAAACGGAGGCACGATGTATAGAAATAAATTTCTCAAGGCCATTTTTAACGATAAGCAAGAGATGGTATGTCCAGATGCCAGGGCTTGCTTATTGTCTGTTTGCTTAGCAGTCCCTTTTGGTGTGTGTCAGTTAAAGGCCAGAAGGAAATGGAATGTGGTTGTTAAGAAGCAGGGAGCCTCATGGATGGTTTAAAACTCTCAGATCCAGACTCAGGAGACTTGTGCCTATTTGGAGTCAGTAATTTATATATAATTGTTTGAATACAGAATTGAACGAAAACAATAAATAATGTCTAAAATCTTTGTGAGTGATGCAGTATAAGAAATGCATGTGGTTCTTATTTTACTCATGGAAAAACATGTCTAATGGACATGCAAGTACATCCATCAGAGTTGATCTGTTTATTTGCCATTATTGCTTACAGTTTAACATCTTTACTCTGGAAATTCAGGAGAGAATTTGAAGTTGCTTTTAGTGGATTATATTCCTTTAAAAAGTGTATTATAAATTTGAAATGAATATAGGTGATAAACTTTCTTCGGAAAATAAATCTTAAAGTCACTTAAAAAAAAAAACCACACACACTCAGTTTGCAAATTTAATGGTGTTAAATGTTTAGCACACAGGAAATGCTAAAGCAGAATGGAATTTACACACAGCCTTTCTGTACATATTCTTCCAGTTACATCTACCGCCTGAGTTAACATTTCTGTGTTTCTAGTCACTGTCTGCCGAAATTTCAAATTTGAGACCGTACTGTGTTTTACCAAAGGGACAAAACTGAAATTATGTATGTGATTATATAATTGAGTAACCTCACAGTATGCACTGTTTCACAGGAAAAGTCATTCTACAGTGATACTCATTTAAATTCAGTTTCTTAAAGCTACATCATGATTTAGTAAAGGCTTCATTTTAAAAAATCTAAATAGTATAGTTGTTGAAGTTGAAGCTCTGCTTATTAGTTCATAGCTCATCAGCATTTTGGTTACTAGTTCTAATGTCTTATTTTCTTAGCCATGTTATTGAAATAATATTATTTTGTTCGTAATGGTAACTGCGTACTTACTTTTACCTCATTCCTGAAGTTTCTGCCATAATTTGTTTCACTTCAAGTTTGAAAGTTTCCTTATGTACAACTTTATAATGAGCATAATAAGCATCTGTTATTTTGAATATGTGGTTAGCTTTAAGGAAAAAGGCAAATCACAAGAAGTTGGGAGAGGTATGCTGAGTCTTAAGATCTTAGACTGATAGCAGTATCAAGTGCCCAAAGAGTTAATGATACTGAGATTTACACATAATTTCATTCAGAAGTGGCGGTCCTTCTTGATGGAAATTCATCACTATTTCTGTCTGGTCGGAGAGGATCGGTGTCATTAGGAAAAGAACAACGTTTCCCTGAAGGAACTCTGCAGAGCTGAGAGGAGAGGGAAGAGGGAGTGTGTGTGTTGGGACAGGGAGGCGGGGAGATAAATGAAGACGGGGAGTTACAATGAGTTGTGAAATAGAAGGTTCTGGAGAGCCTCCATAAAGACACTTTGACACAAGAGAACCATTTTGTTATTCTGGGCCTTTTAGATGTATAAGGGGAAAGAAGGGAAGTGTGTAGCTCGTTAGGCACATCAGTGGGGAATGTCAGATGTTCATGACTTTAGAAAGGGCACCAACTGTGCTCTCATGTGTCTGAAGGCACACCTTTGCAGTGAATAAAAACGCTGATGTATGGACATACTTGACATCTTCTTCCTTGTTTATTCTGTCCTTTCTGTGTACATGTCTCCTGATCAGATCTAAAGAGGAGAGGTGAGAGGGTCCAAGAGTGTTAAATTGTATCAGTTAGCAGGAATCCTTTGAAAAGAGGAACAAAAGTGATTTAAGGGACTAGTGTGAGCTTTGTGTTTGTAACTTTCAATTTATGTTTCTTTCCATAAGTTTCATAGGAGAATTTACAAAGGAATCCCACTCCAGCTCAGAGGTGAAGTCTGGGCACTGCTCCTGGAGATCCCAAAAATGAAGGAAGAGACCAGAGACCTGTACAGTGTGAGTACCAAGAGCCAGCCTGGCGTTTTGAAACCATCAGTCATGGTTGTATTTGTAAGGAAAATTAATACCTGGTTGCAGCTTTTCATTTGCAATGCAGTATTAATAATAGATTTACAGTGTCACTTTTAGAGGTTTTAGGAAAATAATAGCAGAATTCAGTTTATCCAGCAGCTGCGTGTGTATGACTGACTGTTTTCTTCTTTCCCCCAAGATTGTTACAGCATTTCTAGGTTTTATTATTTGTTAATTAAAGTGACCAGCAAGACTTGTAAATTGGCCAGTGCATTAAATTTACCTCCTTGTCATCTCAGCTATACCCTTTCTAAACCTAAATTTTATATTAACCTTTGGAAGGAATAAGAAATGTATATCTAAAAATAAATGTTCCTCTGAAAGTACATATAAATAGAATAAGTTAGAATAACTGAAATGAAGAAAACTTATCATTTAAACCCAGTATTAATTATAAAAGGAACTTTGGAATGCTCTTTTAATACCTTCCTGCTTATGAATAAGTAAAATTTCATCAAAAATAAGGTACCCACGGTGCATGGGTTTATTTCTGGGCTTTCTGTCTGGTTCCATTGGTCTATGTTTCTGTTTTTGTGCCAGTACCATGCTGTCTTGACGACTGTAGCTTTCTGGTATAATCTGAAGTCAGGAGGGTTGATTCCTCCAGCTGCATTCTTCTTTCTCAAGACTGCTTTGGCTATTCGGTGTCTTTTGTGTTTCCATATGAATTGTGAATTTTTTTGTTCTAGTTCTGTGAAAAATGCCATTGGTAATTTGATAGGGATCGCATTAAATCTGTAGATTGCATTTGGTAGTATCGTTATTTTCACAATATTGATTCTTCCTACCCAGGAACATGGAATATCTCTCCATCTGTTGATGTTGTTTTTGATTTCTTTCATTAGTGTCTTATAATTTTCTGTGTACAGTCCTTTTGTCTCCTTAGGTAAGTTTATTCCTAGATATTTAATCCTTTTTGTTGCAGTGGTGAATGGGATTGATTCCTTAATTTCTGTTTCTGATTTTTCATTGTTAGTATATAGAAGTGCAAGTGATTTCTGTATATTGATTTTGACTCCTGCAACTTTGCTAAATTCATTGATTAGCTCTAGTACTTTTCTGATACTATCTTTAGGGTTTTCTATGTGCAGTATCATGTCATCTGCAAACAGTGAGAGCTTTACTTCTTTTCTGATCTGGATTCCTTTTGTTTCTTTTTCTTCTCTGATTGCTGTAGCTAGGACTTCAGAACTATGTCGAATAATAGTGGTGAAAGGGGATATATGTATACCTATGGCTGATTCATGTTGAGGTTTGACAGAAAAAGCAAAATTCTGTAAAGCAATTACCCTTCAATAAAATATAAATAAATTAAAAAATTTTTTTTCATCAAGATGTAAGGTTATAAATATTGGTTAATTTAAGCAGTTACTTTTTTTTTGACAAGACTTTTAAAATTAATTGTTTGGACCCTCCACAGATTATGAATTTATGTCCTGGGATTTTAGAGTTTCAAATTATTTTAAATGATTGATTAGATATTGATTTGGCCGGAAAGTTTGTTTGGGTTTGTCTGTTAGATGTTATGGAAATTCAATGAGAATAAAACTACTTTTCCTTAATCTACTAAGATGTTTCTCAAACAGTGATAATGGTGGTGGCTCCTGAGCAGGTGCTCTTACCTACTGTTTCTACCGTTCTTTTATCTGAATCTCATCATTATCTGTCTCTCTGGGGTCTTGTGATCTGTGTCACAGATGGCAGGGGTCTGGCTACAGTGCTCAACAACCTCACCTGAAGCCTTAACAAGGCTGAAGAATGTTGTCGGCCAGACCCACAATGAGGTGGCTAGTTTTTCATCCAGGTGCTTTCCACTGTACTTCTGCCCTCAGGTTTATAGGCTCATTGGATCCTATTTCTTTTAAGTAAGTGTTTATTCTTTATTATTGTGACATTCATGGACTCAGTCTCAGAGATTACCCGAGAAGTTGCTTACCTCCTTTCGTTAAGATAAATATGCTTAATTTCTTGTAGTCTGCCCTTAGCTTGTCACCATTCTAGAATATAAATAATCTTTCTGTTCCATTATTTTTTTACCTGCTTAACTGGGCTTTGCTTCTGTCATGAGGTCTTTTTTGTGTTAAGTGTTCTTGTCCTCTAGAATAATTCATATTAGAGATGTGTTTGGGTGTTTTTCTCCCTTTCAACTAAATTGTATTTTAAAGCATATTTTATCATGTCTCGTCAAGCATTTCCTTTCTGGGGAAGTGGTTGGGGGGGAGGTGGTGAGAAGCAGAGGGCCTGTGGGCTGGAGAGGACACAGACACGTGAGTAAGATGCAGGGGAGTGGATGCCCTGAACTTGGGGCAGACCAGCCTTTCCCTCACTTGACTCCCGAACATCATCAGTTGGGCACTTGTCCTCCTTATGGGGGATTGGAAGGGTGTTTCTTTAGGAATCTGACCAGCCCAAGAAAATAACCCCAAACTCCTGACTGTGGGGGAGGCCGGGTGAAAGCAGCTGGACCACTCTGCAGTGAAGACAGTTGTGAAGCCCGTCTGCACACAGAACTTTCCATCAGCTTTCTTGTGTCTTCTTTGAAATACAAGCAGACAGTGAGGAGAGGAGCTAGGAGCTAGCATGGAAAATGGGAACAAGTGGAAAAAGCAACTTATGAGAAACAGACCATAGAGCAAGAAAAAAACAGAAGAGCTATTGCTGATGTCTTCAGAGGGATAAAAAGAGATATTGCATCCATAAAACAAGTATAGGATGCTATAAAAGGAACATTTGAGAACAACAGAGCCTATGAATATAAAAGATGATAATAGAAATGAAAAATTCTAGAGGAGGGTTTGAAAATGACAAGTGAAGAAGTTTCCTAGAAAATAGATTGTGAAGTCAAAATTCAACTCAATGAGTTTTTAAGATTGAAAAGATCCATCAAATGCCCAAACCTGTAGCTAAAAATAGATCCAAACCAAACACAGAAATTACAAGTTTCAGAACTTAGAGACAGAAGCCCCTTTCTTATAAAGAAGGAAGTAGAATGGCAGCACTGCAAGCCAGAAGACAGTGAAGGTGATGCCTTTTGAGCAAAAATACTTTCTAACTTAGAATTCTAAAATAGCCAAATAGCTAAGAAAGAAGGTAGACTTAACAGACATTCAGAGTATCAAAAAATTGATCTTCCACACATCTTTTCACAAAAGCTACTGGAGGCCAAGCTCCTCAGAACAAGGAAGTAAACCAAGAAAGATGTGAGATGCAGGAGCAGGAAACCTAAGCAAAGCAAGGCCTCGCAGATGTTTGTGAAGGGGAGCCCCTGAGCAGCTGGTCCGGAGGCCCTGGGAGCCGGCTCTGTGGGGAGTAGAGAACAGGAGGTGCCTGTTCTCCTGGAACAGCCAGGAGAGGTGACAGCAGCCTAAAGTGAGCCTGGATTGAGCTAGCAACACTTTATAGAAAACTAAGCCAATTGAGAAACGAGCAACCGGGCAGTGATAAGCTCCAAGAAAAACTAGAACATTATGTTGGAAAGAAGAAAGGAATCACCGTGAACTGCCTGGCTTGCCTGGGAAGAGTCTTAGCAACACAAACTCCAAACATTCTCCATCCAAATGAAAATCTAGCTGCCCTGAAAGGATGGGATGGGGAGGAGGCAAGGCAGGGTGGTGGTGTGTGGACAGAGGGAAACCTTTCACTGTGCACCTTTTTATGTTGTTTTTATTTTTGAACCATGGAAGTGGTTTTCATAAATCAAAAAAAGTTTTTTAATGATAATTATTTTACTGTTTGTCATAGACTTTTTGACATTTGATTTCCATTAAAATGTGCTTTCTTCTCCTCTTTTTTCCTCTTCAGAAATTAAAACACAGAGCACGGGGTTGTTCGCCTGATATCAGACAGATAGACCTTGATGTCAACCGCACATTTAGGGACCATATCATGTTTAGAGACAGATATGGTGTGAAGTAAGTAAAGTTTAATATTATGGACTATGAATAGCATTTACAAATAGCCTTTATCAACTTGAAATGTGAGTGTTTGGAATATCTTATATAGGTGATAATTTTGCTTCCACCTCTGAGGGTTTAAATTTTGGCAGATCCTTTGGTCCATATTATGTAAACTTTAGGATATAACTTAGCTTAAATTTTTAATCTTTGACATATCTGTGCTATACTATTTGCTATAAAATCATTTTATGATCTAGAAATTCTTAAATATATGGTAGATACTCTTATTAAAAATCTCAGAAAAGAAATGAGAGATTTTGTAACTTTTTGAGAACTATGTCAGTAATAAATGCATTCTTAGCCCCTGATTCCATGCACAGTTGAAACTAAAAAAATGGGAAATGGGTGAATAAAATGACAGTGGCTGTTGGCTGTTTAGGAATGAAATGTACAGTTTTGTTGTCCTCTGTGTCAGTTAAGTTTCAGCCAGAGAAATAGAAACCAGTAAGAGATGTAAACTAAGGGGTTTGCTGTGAGGAGTTCGCTTACAGCCTGCTGGAACTGACTAGCAGGTTCAAGGTCCATAGTGCAGGTGTCAGGAAGCGCCTTCAGAGCTCTAACGACCTTTTGACCGATTGCATCAGGGCTTCCCAGATTATGGAGGGTAATCTCCCCGACTTTGAGCCAACTGATTGTGTGTTTTGGTTACATTTATAAGAGACCTGTTTCACAGCCGCACCTCCATTAGAGTTTGAGTATCTGGGGATTGTAGCCCAGCCAAGTGCACATAAGAAGCTCACCATCACAGACCACACTCATCAACTTAATTTTTGAGTAAAGACAATAAAACTGTACTTCCTAATAATATTCTGTACTTCCACAGCTATCCTGGTTACAACTCAAAATATGCCAAGTGCACATAAGAAGCTCACCATCATAGACAACACTCATTGACTTAATTTTTGAATAAAGACAATGAAGTTGTACTTACTTATAATATTCTGTACTTCCACAGCTATTCTGCTTACAACTCAAAATATGCCAGCCCCTCCCGACAAAATGATGCTGAGTCCTTGGGGATATGTACTCCTTTTGCTTTGATACGTATAACCTAAATGCTGTGAATAAAGTCAGCTATTATTAAACATCTTATGGTAGATGGGAACACAAGGGAAAAGAGAAGGAGCAAAGCACATTAAAAAAATATATGTATATACACAAACATATTGATAGCAAAATAAGGAAAAAGTACTCAGATGTAGTTGTCATCTCCGTGACTGGGCATGTGGTCACTGCTGGTCATACTTAGCTTCCACTTCCCATCCCACGTACCCTTGGCCCTCAGCAGGTCCCTTGGCTGCTGTGGGTGCTAAACCTTTGTTCCTGAAGAGCCTGCCATTAGCAGTCCTGCCTGAATTTGATTGTGGTGGTGTTCCATGGACTTGAATCACGGGGTTTGGTTGTACTCAGAGGCACCTTCAGTATTCTCTGTGTCCTAGACGTGCCTCTTGCTTACGTCCACCATGTCCTAGCACCTCACCTTTCCCCTTAGCGACCAGGATCAGTCACTCCAGCCGGTACACTTGCCTCCTTTGCGTGCTGATTGAGAGGCATGAGGAGCCCATAGTGGTAGGGGTGGCCAACCTGGCTCCCAGTTCAGTGGAAGTGTTTGTCTCCTAGTGGGGACACTCCTGTCTTTGGAGCCAGGACCTCTAGAGCAGCAGAGCCTAAGGTTGATGGAGCAGAAAGCAAACGAGTTGTTAGTGGACAAGAGGTCACAGTGGGTGGAGCCTCTCCTGTTCCCACACTTGGATCCTGGGCCCTGAATCCTGGCCAGGGGAGAGGTGATGTCAGTCTTGGGAGCTGATTTCCAGTGGACACAGCCCCCTAGGGGACATGCCCCCACCCTGCAAGGTGCTGCAGGATGCTGGCCCTGTGAGTGAGGCTTCAGAAGGCTGGTCCTCAGCTCCGTCCAGCCGGCCCCTTCTGTGGGGATGTCTGTAGTGAGAACAGGTCACAGAGAGGACAGCAAGTTGAAGACATGGTGAGGTGCTTTGTGCTTTTTGTTATAAGTCCTTTCTGTCAACATGAATGTTATCTAGCCTCAAGTTTAGGCTGTGTAGAGCACTGTTTAAATTTGAATTTGGGGTCATTTCTTTATAATAATAGTAGCTTTATCTGGATTATCTATTTATCATCAGTCAAACTGTTGCTTGTATTTTTTTTAAGTTCCTAATTTTAAAAAGGTGAAAAAACTAAATTGTGTTCCATGTAAATTTCTTTCCTCTAGGCAACAATCCCTGTTCCACGTTCTTGCTGCATATTCTATTTATAATACGGTAAGTCGGCGCCTACCTGCCCACAGCTCTTTGAGCTGTGTTCTGAGCACCTGGAGGAAATCTTTGGGCCTCCTTCCTGAAAAAGCCCCCTTGGCCTGTGTTGCTTCATCTTAGGACTGGACGGTCTGTGTGGACCTTCCCAAGCCTCCCTCATCCGCCCCACGGTATCAGAGCAGAGCTCTTGGAAAGTGGGAAGAACCACAGTGTGAAAGCAAAGCTCACTTTTCCCCTCCTTACCACAGGTTGCCTTTTTTGTGGTGGTGTTTTTCTTGTTTTTATTTTAAGCACTTAGGACTGGGAATCAGCAGGGCAAGAGGGGCAGGAAGTAGTGGCTAGATTAATTCTGCTTGACTCTTGGTGACTCTTCGTTCCCCTGGGAGGTTACCTTTCAGAATCACATTTCATTTATTTGGTGAGGTCCAGATGGCAGACCGTAGATACCTACTTGCTGTCTCCTGGAGTAAGCTGAAACTAAATGTTTTGGTATTAGAACATGTTATTCTTAAGGCATTGATTTCTCTTGAGGGAGAGAGATTTGGAGGAAGAGATCAACTATTGTTAGCACCAGTATAGATGCCAAGTAAACACTTCGCTGACTGGATTCCAGGAAGGACACCTTGAACCTTGAGGTGTACCTTTTCTATTGTAATCAAAACCTTTAAGTTACAAGAAACAGAAATTCACTCAAACTAGGGCAAGTTAAAAAGGAATTGATTAAAGGGACATCTCACAGAAGTGAAGCTGGGGTGGCTGTTGCAGCTGGACTGTGAGAAGCCTACAGGGAGAAGAGCTCCTCTTTCTGTCCCGCTCAGGGCCACGTGGCGACTCCGTCGCTGGAAACTTCATGGTACTGTTTCTGTCTTCAGGTGTGTCTCTCTGCCTGCTTATCTGTTTTTCTTAGGCCTCTGTTGCAGCCATAGCCTCAGTGTGGGCATTCTGTTCAACTACATACCACTGTGTATGTAGTTGTGGCTTTATTCAGTTTTCCTGGAGAAATGAGTAAAATTGTCAAGCAGCCGAATTGGTGATTCCCTGGGGTTAGGTGTCCTCGTCTCCATGAGCTGTGGTTCACATGTCACGACAGGGATCCTTAAGGCCATGTGAAATTATGTGTAATTATGGGGAGAACGGGCAGTTCTCAGGGAAGGGGCTTAGACTGGAAGGGTACCCCAAAATGTGTCTCCATAAGGATCTGGAAATCTCGAGGAGAAAAGACAGCCAGTTGGGAACTGTGCAAGGAGAGAAATTTGCCAACATCTGAGCAAAGAGGAGGAATATTGAGCTGAGAATCACACATAAAACAAATATAAACAGTGCTCTTTACAGAAGGTGTAATAACAGTATTGAGCAGAGGTCAATAAAGTCCTTTTAGATTAGACTTGTCCACACTTCTGCATTTATTCTTCAACACGAACATAGTCGTTGATAGCATGTGGCTCAATACTGTGATGATTGTAATATTTCTTTGTAGAACTGCGCATTAAGTAATGTATTTAGGCATTTTCTGTTTTCTGCATCAGTTTTTCATACCTGTATGTACATGTAATTTGATCTTAAGAGCGCCGGTTTCTCTGTTCTCGTTTCTGTTTAGGAGGTTGGATACTGTCAGGGGATGAGCCAGATCACAGCCTTGCTCCTCATGTACATGAACGAGGAAGATGCCTTCTGGGCCCTGGTCAAGCTGTTCTCAGGCCCCAAACACGCCATGCACGGTATGAGGGCCCTGAGGTTGATCCTCAGCAACAAACCCGGGAGGGAGAGACAGGCAGGTTCGAACAGTCAGACTCGGGGTGATGCTTGGTGGGGTCAAGTACAGCAACTTGTCTTAGGGGCGTGTTTAATTCATTAGTGTTTATTACTGATCTCTTATTTAATTCTTCACTGAACTTTTCTAAGCTTTTCTGTTCACATTTATATTCCTTCGTCTTTACTACCACATACACTATTGATGTTTTAAAATTATTTCCTTACTTGCCCTGGTTAGGAGAAACTAGGTTTGGAAGAATTTAGGAAAAACTGAATTATTGGAAGCTTTTGATTGAAACTGTTGGACAGTCATGCCTTCAGTGAAATGTCTACTGTTGATTGGATATTGTGATTTAAACCAGTTTGTTAGAGAATATTAATTGAGAAATGACACTCAGGTGTTTAAAGGAAAGGTCCACAGTAATTTGGTGTGTCAAATATGTGTTTTAGTTCTTTCAGCCTTAAAACTGATTCCATCTTACAGTAAAAAAAGCTGATAACATATTCTGGGCACTTTGATATTTCAAAGCTTGCGTAATCTTTTTGTTTTCAAGATATTACACTGTTTTGAATAATATTTTCCTTATATTTGCCAAGCATATGCAATAAACTTAACTTGAGAGAGTTTGGATTGAAACTTCTCTTGAATATAAAAGTGGCATTTGTCCATGTCATGCAAAATTATTTTCTCAATGCCACTGAGTGTGATAATACCAAATTAAAAACAGTTTTAACACTAATCACTCTTGAGAATGGACCATCATTCTCTTTGTGAACATTGAAGCTTCATGTGGTAGGGAACCTGCCACAAGTTAAAGTGATGTTTTAAATTTTCAAAACTATGACCTTCCATAGTATATTAAATCTCACATTCTTACCATGTGGTTATTGTTGAAGCAGTGTGTTTACATGTGTATGTTTGCGTTTAGCTATCTCCTTCAGTGTTTCCTGTGAATTAAAAAAAAAATACTATCTGCATGATGAGTGTTTCTGGACACTCTGCATTCCATAAGTGGACTCCAGTAGTAAGACACGTTACATTGAGCTGCCACTCAACAGTATCACTGCAAAAGCATCTTAAAGAAACACAACTCTTCCTTAGTCTTTATTTTGCTTTAGCGTGAGATGGCATTGCTGATAATCTTGGAAGTACAGTGGAATATTAACAGCTTAAGTAGTCTGTAATTATGTGGAATACTGTCCAGTTTTAGAAAATCCATCTCTCTTAACAAGCCTGATAACTTGCTTTCAGTAATTATTGTCACCAGTCTAAGCTATGTGTGTGTGTACTCAGTCATGTCTGACTCTTTGTGACCCTATGGACTGTAGCCCACCAGGCTCCTCTGTCCATGGGATTTCCCAGGCAGGAATACTGGAGTGGGTTGCCATTTCCTTCTCCAGGGGATCCTTCCGATCCAGGGATCAAACCTACATCTCTTGTGCTTCCTGCATTGGCAGGTAGATTCTTTACCACCGCACCACCTGGGAAAGCCCCAGTTTAGTCTACAAAGCAGTATTTATTTTACTATTCTAACATTTACATTTACAAAGCAGTTCAGGTCATTATTATGGGTAAGTTTGTACCTAGAGATATTTGTTTCTAGATCTGCCTATGAAATTTTATAACTGAAGGTTATCTCAGTTCTTTGCATTTCCTATATGAAGCTGTTATAACTCACAAAAGTGTCAAGTGAGGGCTGAAGCATGAGACTTAAAATAGAAAGTCTGGGACCCCACTAAAAACGAAAGTGGTATCTTAGCATCCTTGAGCTCATGTTTATTATTGAAGGAATTGCCTTTTTCAAAATCAGGCTTTTCTTGAGTTTCTTCCAACTCCCATTCCTCTCAAATTGACCATGAAAGTGGCAGAGAAAGAGAGAGAGAGATACAGATTTTTTTTTTTTAATGAAATCATTTCACCAGAAAGTATTACTAGGGGAGGAATTTTCTATCTCTGGAGATTTTTACACACTCCTTAGAAAGCTGAGAATCAGTTAAGAAATAGCCCTTCCCCAAGGATCATAAAGCAGTGCTTCCCAGCAGTGTTCCTCAGTTTCTTGCAGGGACATAGTTTTACGTTTTGGAAACATGTGTTCTGTGGGGAAAAATTGGACTCCATGATCAGATAAGTCTGGGAGATGAGGTAAACCAAGAAAAACAAGTGTCTTTAGTCTGTAAAACAACTTAGAAACATTCAGAAGCTAATATGCCTGTGAACATATGCAAAAAAGGGTATATGTGACATACAGTATTTCTCCTGGATTCTTTTAAAACATAGAACACTTATTAATGTCTTTTGAAGTTACCTAGAACCCAGGCTGAAAAACTCATGGAGAAATCATAAATTCATTGTGTATGTGTCTTTTTTAATGGACTATTAGAATATCTGAAAGGAAACTTGTGAATAAAAATAGATGTAAATTTCCATGAGTTACATACACAAAGTTAATACTAACTTCCCATTTACAGTTACTTCCTAGAAATCTTATAGATTGTACTGCATAATCATTTGGGATAGAATATGTTAACATTGATCATACAGTGCCCGCATGTTTTAGCTTATGTTAAATATCACTTATAAAAAGATTAAAAAGTGTTATTAACCTGGGAAGCATGGTTACTCCAATGATACTGTTAGAGTAAGCCTGAAAAAAGTAATACAATGTTTGTTTTATATAATGGGGAAGCAAAATAAGTAATCAAGATTAGAATAATTTATAGAAGAAGTGTGTGTTTAAGACATCACCCAGTTTACATCAAGTAAACAGATAATCTTGATAAAAAGCTTCAGTTTCCATTTTTTCTTACTTTCTTAGTTTTCCTTTTAATTCAGAAATACTCTGTCCTGTTTTATACTTTTATAAGGTGATAGGCGATCCTTAGCAAACACATACTAAGCTATAAGTTTTCATTAATCAAAGCTTATACATAATTGTTTCCTTGGAGAAAAGTAAAAATATTTGGGTAGCTACTCAGTTTGTTTTTCTTGTTGTTGACAGCTAAAAGATAAAAGAAATATGTTGCATTTTAAACTAGGGATTTCTGTTGTTCTTATTTATGAAGTATTGTTTTTATGTTTGTATTCTAGGATTTTTTGTCCATGGTTTCCCCAAACTCTTGAGGTTTCAAGAACATCATGAAAAAATACTGAATAAATTTTTGTCCAAGCTTAAGCAGCACTTGGTAGGTAGATATGACCTTGACTTACACCCACCTGTACCAAGAATCAAGCTGGAAGACTTGAGTGCAGCCGTTGGTCCCCATTACTCTGTTGGTGTGCAGTCTCATCCATTTCATTGACTGAGCAGTTACAGTTCCCAGGTGCTCAAAGGACATGAGATTTGTGAAATGTAGTACCAATGAACTATCACAGCCCTAACTCACAGCATCAGTCGTCTTTGAAGCTGATATATAATAATACAAACAATTTAGTTTTTAAGGATATGTGATTTCTCAGTGATTTAGGAGGTTTTTTAATTGCACTAAAGTATTTGCACTAAAATATTTTAAGGATCATACAGACTCGTCCTCAGTGAATGACATGCATACTCCTCTGAAAAAATATAGTAATTTGGTAAAGCAAGGATGCTTCCTTTTAGAATATATTAAAAGAGAATCAAAGTATTGTATAACAGTCTTATCTTATGAGGGGTTGGTGTATTCTCAGGGTGATTTTAAAAAGTACAACTGAGGAAGAAGAGGGAGTTGGAAGAGAAAAAGGGGAAATACTCCAGCACAGAGGAGATTTGTAATGAATGGTTTTGTTTAGCTCTGACAGCTACCTCCAACAACCTGCCTAACTTTTAGTATTTATTATATCGTCATATTTTGTGTGCAGCAATCCAGAAATTGTGAAATTTTTGTTTTTTTCCAGGATTCTCAAGAAGTCTACACAAGTTTTTACACAATGAAATGGTTTTTTCAATGTTTCCTTGATCGGGTGAGTATTTATTTAAAAAGTCCAATCATAAAATTAAAAATACCAGACGAGGACAAACTGTTCATCTTATTTCTGTTTTGTTTTAATTATAGACGCCCTTTACACTAAACCTCAGAATATGGGACATCTATATCTTCGAAGGAGAACGAGTTCTTACTGCTATGTCTTACACAATCTTAAAATTACACAGAAGTAAGAAAGTGTTTAATTATAAAGATTTCACAAAAATCTAGCCTTGTTTTAAATCTTAACTTCTCATTACCCACCCAACCTACCTCAAGGTCATTTCCTTTTAGTAATGAGCTTAAAAATTCTCTAAAATCAGTGAGGAAATTATCTTCAGTTGGTAGTTTTCGCGCATTGGTTCCTCCTCGTGACTAGAAGCTTACTGATCGCAGAGTCTTTTAATTCTTTTCTCTGTGTCCGTTTCATCTTCACGTTTAGGTAGAATGCAGTATGTTGCTCTCACTAATAACATTCCTACTAGTTATTTGTTTCCACGGTGTGTGTGTGGGGGGATGTCCCTTATTTTTTTCATCGATCTGATTCTTTAAGTTTAATAGGAAAAAGGAGAGACCAAAGAAGCCAGGCCCTTTAGTTAACAGGTCTAGAGAGGGCGTTTTCTGTGATTGCTTCACCAGGAAGAGCGCATCCAGCCCCACATCACAGACCAGAGTTGGGGGCCCTCCCCCACCCCGTGTGGCTGCTTTGTAGCCTCTAGCAAATACCCTCCAGGCCCACAGTTGTCCAAACTGCAAAAGACCGTCAGTTGCAATATTGCAAGGGCTCGGTAAATAGGACATGCTGTGCCTTACTCTGAAAGTCAAGAAGTGAGAGTAGATCTTTATGAATGAGGGACCTTATTCATCTTAAAGTCTTAAATGACCCTTAAAATTTATGGTGCTCCTTTTGTGACCATGCAGAGAAGGGAAGAGAGGCTCCACGTGGTGCCCCTCACCCAGCACCTCCAGCCTACGGCACAGCCTGGGCTCACGTTCACCGTATACTCTGCCCTCTTGCCTTGTTGAACGGTCATCTCTTCAGTTTCCCAGCTCAGTGATACATTAGCTTAGTGCTTGGGATCATGTTCTGTAGTTTTCCTCCCTGTGTGGCTTTGTTCTAAGAACGTCCTTGGTACTTTGATAGGAAATGGTTTGATTACTTACTTGAAAAGCATGGTCTTCAGGAGAACCAGATTATTCAGATTCTAGATAAGACTGAAACTTTAAAATCACATCTGTGTTGTTTACTCTGAGAGAAGAGGATTCAGAAGTCTTGTGGTTCATTTCCCTGCCTCCCCAACACCAAACCACCACCCCAAGATGAAACAGTTTGGCAGTGAACTGTTGCCCAAACTCGGATCTGTGGTCATAACCACAGGAAATCAGTCAGTCTCCGTTCCTCCCCTCTCTCCACCATGTCCTTCTTTTCTGTCTCTCTGGATTATGCACTGACCAAGATGTAGAACAGAACCATACTCTGTGTTAAGGTATATACCTACTAGTTTAACATTCCTTTAGCAGTGAGAAAGCCCCATAACTCTCTTCCTCTTAAATTGTGTTTTACTTATGACTCTTGATTAATTTTGACAAGTAAAAAGTTTCTCTACTCTTTGTAAATTAACCTTAAGCATAACAACCACTTTATATCCTACTATATCATTAGGTTAAACACTGGAAAACGTTTGCTGTTGTGTATTTTTTCATTAGGAAGACAGAGATCAAGGACTTCCATGAAGTTCCTTCATCATATAAAGCTTCAAAAACTATGTCTTGGCCAATAGTTACCTGAGGCTCTTAAGATTTTTTTCTTGTTTTTTTCCTAATTCACTTACCAATATTTAGAGGCACTGTTATTTAAAAAAAAAAATCACACTGTGATTTTAACCAGTAAAAGAAAAAAAAAAGAAGCAACCTAAATGCCCAGTATTAGAAGACTGATGATTAATAAATTTAGAACATACACACAGTGGACTCTTATGCAGTTGTTAATAATGACAGCATAAAATCATACTTGTTGAAGTGAGAGGTATCAGTGATATACACCGTTGACTGGGGGAAAGCAAAGAGGTGAATAACATGTAAAGTATCGTTTGTTTCCTTGTTTGTTTTTTTCTGTAAATTGAACTGCACGTAGACACATCTGCTTGTAGGGCATTGGCATAAGTATCAATACAGATAAAATTAATAACCCAGATTTTCAAGAAATTTGGAGAGTGGCATTGGTGGTTTAGTGGTAGAATTCTTGCCTCCGAGATTTTTGAGAAATTCTGAGACAGTTAAAATACAGACCTGGAAGTGGCTATGCCTGTGGCAGTCACAGCTCTGTATCAGGAAAACACATACTCATCCGGGGTGGTCTTTGTCAGTCTACGGTCTCTAGGAACTCTTGCTCTGGGGAAATATTAATACCCAGGTATGGTTATCTTAGACCTGTGAGAAGGTATATAGCAGCGTTCACCTTCCCCCAGTTCCCCAAAGCTACCTGCTTTTCTCTATGACCTGCTTTTCTGTGTGCTTTAATATCAGGAAACAGTTTTGTCCTAACTGAGTTTTGTTGATATTCACAAGGCCGTTTGGAAGTTGAATGCAGTGCACTCTTAAAAATAGACATCAGAATAAAATACATTATCTTCTCAACCTAAAGTAGCCATTGTTTATTTTTCTCAACTTAGAACATCTTATGAGATTGTCCATGGAAGAACTTGTAGAATTTCTTCAGGAGACCTTGGCAAAGGATTTTTTCTTCGAAGATGACTTTGTAATAGAGCAGCTCCAGATTTCTATGGCAGAACTGAAGCGGGCAAAGCTCGACCTTCCAGAACCTGGTAAGGAAATAGCCAGACACTTTATGCATAACTTACAGTTCAGATCAGGAGATACTGTACAGTTAACATGGCTCATTGTGGTGTGAAAACGTCTGCATACTTGTGATGACATCATGTAAATCAGTGTTTACGGCTTCATTATTTTAAGAAAGAGCAAATATTCATTAAATCTGCCTCTCCTCAGAAAATTAGGAAGTTTAATAGATAACGTTGTTTCAACAGAAGTTAACCTTAGCTTTAAGTTACCATAACAATAAGCACTCTTTACATTCATCATCACTTGTAGAACCACATGCAGTACTGGATCAAGTAAAAGTCCCATTTTATAGAAGAGGAAATTGATACTAAAATGCTAAAAATATGAAGCCTGCAGATCCTGCAGATAGCAGTACTGCTCCCAGAGTCTGAGGTTCCTGACTGCTCATCCCTGGTTCTTTGCAGTATGCTGCAGTGTAGATAATGTATTTTATTGACTTATTCCAAAACATCTTTCAGTGCATCCTGTTAGGTTTCCTCCTCGGTGCTCTGTTGGGGATTTACCAACTAAAAAGAAAGACCTTCCTGTCTCAGGGTGCAGGGGGAGACCTGGAATTTACGCAGTAACAGTGGAGTGTGAATAGAGTCCTAGTAGAGCTAGAAACAGGGTAAACAGGGACGGGTGGATGAAGGGCGGTGTCGGATGAGAGGGAAAGAGAAAAGAAAATGCAGAGACAGCACAGTGGAAAGAAGTTTTCAGAACACACTTTTGCTAAAAACCAAGATGCTTTGCTTTTAGTTATTTAAGTGCAAGGAGTCTAATGGGTGTTTCTCCGAGGTTTGTTTTGCGTCATCAGGGTTCACCAGAAGATGAGCCATCACTGCAATGGTGGCGTGTGGGCCTGGGCCCTGTGAGGCCAGCACCTCTGCTCCAGGAGGTCCCTCCTCTCTCATATTCTGTTGTGCCTTTCTGCTGATTCTTTCCTGTTACGGGGAATGCATTTGGAGTAGCAATTACTAACTATGTTCTTGCGATTCCAACATTTATTTTTAAATGACTTACCTACTTTTAAAAAGAGTTTAAAACAAGTTTTAGTAAAAGACACATATATTAATAGGAAAAAAATATATATATACTAGAATTGTTTAAACATGAGAATAAAATATCCAAACCTGTGTAATGGAATGGATTGATTTAGCATCTGACTAGCAGCTAGTGTTTATTGAATGTCTGCTCTGTGCCACATTCCACATACATTGTCTCATTTAATCCCTCAAATAACTTTTAGAAAATACTCAACCTCAGTCTACTCATGAGAAAACCTGGTAGCAGTAGTTGGTAAGATCTTTTTCCAGTAGAACGCAGATGGAGGGGGTGGGGGGCGGATAAAAGGAGAGGGGTGGATAAATAACCCCAGAGCTGGGTTGTTCTCTGGGCTGATGTTCTCTGCCTGGATAGAGAGCCGCGGTGGTCTTCTGAGGCAGGCAGTCTGCGGGACTTGCAGTTGCGTGTGGTGTCCACTGGGTGGTGACAGAGACCTGAGTAAGATGGATGATGGAGCAGCCAGAAGGGACTGAAGAGTCTCCCTTTTCTTTTTTTTTTTAATGGATGCTAAGGTGTGTTCTTTTTGTTGGTTTTTTTTTTTTTTTTTTTTTAAGAAAAAAGTGTTATTCAAGAAAAATAAGAAACTTTCTGAAATATATCAAGTTACAGTTCCTTTTTTTTTTTTTTGAGCAGAGTAGTCTAATTCTTGGCAGTGGCATAAAGATATTTACCCTTTATGCGATGGAACCCTAGTGCAAAGTGTCATTAGCGTGGTATTTTCACAGAAGCGTCCGTGTTGTGTGTGATGGGAATCACGCTGCTTTCCCACTTCTTCATTTAAACTCCTGGTTTTCAGGGGGAGGAAGTGAAGAATAGAATTTTAGGCAAGGAGCTAAAGTGAGGTGAGCAGAAAACAATGTCACGTCTATGGAAAAGAAGTCCAGAATGAAAGTATGGGTAATAAATATTAATACTTATTGCCTATTTATAGCCATCTGTTTGATATCAGTTATGCTTGAATCTTTTAGTTATACCCCGTTGCTTAGCGGTGAAAGGAGATCCTTAAACCAAAGACCAAATGCAGCAGTGTGTGTATTGGGCACATTGGTGGGGGTTGTGGGGGGGGCGGTGTGTGTGCATAGTTTGAATAGTTTGAGATGAATCTATGAAAGATATTGTCCAAGAATGTTTAATGCTTATAGGGATCTACTTGTGCAGGAAAAGGGCAGAGAATATTTATCAGCACATGAGACGATGGTGTGTGTACTTCAGAAAGGAATCACTTTATAATGAAGTCGGAGAATAGTTTTCTTCGACCCCATACTTAGACACAGAGGTCAGCTCTCCTGGGCGCAGGGCCCGTGGGCTTTGCTGCTGTGGTTGCCAGGCAAGGCCTGGGCCTCACTCAGTCCAGCAGCGGCCTCGGGAGGGCCAGTGCTCTGCTGTGGGCATCTCCCGGCTCCCCGCCCCATCGCCCCCGTGATTCTCCCTGATTCTGTCCCATCCTTCCCCTCCCCTCTTCCCCTTCCTTCTCCTCGGGTCCCTCCTCTCCACCCCTTCTCACTCCTCTTCAGAGACAGGGCCCTTCCCACCACCACGGAGGCCCTTAGAAATGTGAACAAGTGTACATTTGCTTGCCCTTGAACTGCTGAGGATTTGCGCTCTTCAGGGGGGTTGGGTCAGTCACGGGAATAAACTGAACGTGGCAGGATCCACATGCCATCCATCAGCGGCTGCTGGTAGAAGACAGAAGTGGGTGCGGAGTCATGGCCCTACTCTGCTCCCCAGACACAGGTCACTGTGGACAGTAGTTGCTGTCTGATGCTGTTTTAAGTTATGCAGATCCCAGCACTGCGGTCCGGCCCTGGTGCCTGGGAATACACTTACCCCTCCCGCGTAGGCCTCCTAGCTTAACCTTCATTACTGTCCATAATATGGGGAGGAGTTAGGGTTTTTAAGCACTTAGGTTTTAGAAGGCTCTTTCTTATATGCTTGTCTATTGCATCTTTCAAAGTACTCTCCTTTTTTCCTACTTATAATCTTTATGGGAGCTAAGGGGCTGTATCCTCTAAATATCTTTATTCAGTTGAGGTATTCATCGTCACCTCTTACAGAGTCCTCGTTCCTAGTGAGAGACTGACATTCAGCAGTTAATTATAGACATCATGTCCTTTTGTTTGCACTGGATTTTTTTTTTCTCCAAACCCTGCTACATGTAGTTTCTTAGCTATAGAGATCTTGGGTGTTTATAACTGTTATGTTTCTGTACTGTTTATTTGAATGATACATCATTAATTAAGATTAATTACATATGAACGAGTGGACATTTTGTCAAAACCTTACTTGTGATTCTGTTACTATTTTAGACACTATAGGAAAGACTGCAAAATAAGGAGTGCAATCGCACTTTGAGCCGGTTATCGACTCCTAAGGTGAAAAGGAGATGTATTATGGGTGACTGTGAAAGACCTTTAAGAAGCGAGTTTTTGGATGTTTTAGAACAATTGCAGATTTTTTCCCTCCCGGTGTGGATTTTGGCCTCTTGACCATTCAGTAAATGGAACATGCTAAAATTTTCTTTTAATTCTAATATGATGTGTAGATGCATAGAATATTAATGTCTCTTCTTAGAGAAATGCGTATATTGGCTTGAATATAAAGTAGTGTTAAGTGTAAGGTGAATACTTTTCTTACCCTTTATATTGAAAAATTAAAAATCCCTCATATGTATAACACATACCTTTCCATTTTGCTTCAGGCATGAAATTACCACCTCAGTCTATTACTTCCTCCTCATTTTTTCATTCCTTTTCTTGAGAAATACAGGCCTTATATTTGTAATTCCGCATTTTACCATGCATCCTATTAGTCTTTGCTGATGCATGCCTTTTATGTATCCAGAAGATTTCACGATGGAAATCTCTGGATATGAGAACATAGGGTAGGATATGATGTGGTGTTATTTTCCCCAGATGTTCAGTTCTCTCTTTTAGTCTTCTTTCCTCCCTACTTCTTTCCACTTAGAGCAGCTTTGTTTATTTTTTTATTTATTTATTGCAGTTTCATATGAGAGTTCCTTTGAGAAAGAGAATTTCCTTTTAAAAAGTTTAGAAAAACCACTGAATTAGGAAAACAGAGTTTATTTTTAGCTCAGTAACTCTGATTCTGACAGCTCATCTACTTAAAGGTTATTTACCATCATTTTCTGCTCCCTCCCAAAGAAAAACTCATTGAACTTTTAAAAATCTTAAAATTATAATATGTGGGTAAATAATACAGTTATTATCACCTAAACCATGAGCTACATGAAAACAAGGTGGTATCTGCCTGCTTACAACTGTGGACCCATGGCTTCCTCCTAACTATTTGTTAGTTGGGGGGACATTTGAAGAGAGAAACGACTTATTTTTAAGTGAGAATGTATGATTTTGTAGTGACAGGTAGAAAGCATATATCTTAAACTTTGGAATTTTTACAAGTGAAATCTCTCATCTTTTCAAGATGGTATTTATGGGTGTTCATATTATGGTGGATGGTTTTTAAACACTCTTCACTAAATGCACATTCCTTTAATTCTTTAGTTTTCTGATGTTATTTGAAATGTAAAACTAAAAGTATCTAATATGATTTTCTCCTTTTTATTCTTTTTTCCTTTTTTTTTTGCATTTAAAGTAGGACCTTGTTAGAATATTAATTTGGAGGTACAGAATATTGTTTCTTTTTATCCTGTGGAGTTACTTGAGAGAATAATAATGAGCTATTTGGGTACAACTTGGAGTCACAATTGGTCATCACTTGACCTTTAAACTTGGCAGACTTGCTTGAAGTTGATAGAAACTATTTTACTGAGATTCTAAATTCTTTTAGTTGAGGAATGCTTAAGTGGAAGGAATGTAATGGTAAGACATTGAACTACTGACCTGTAAGACTGTTTCAGGAATAGAAATGAGAATATCAGCTTTGCATTTTTGAAAAAGCAGGTAATCATACAGCTTAACAAAATTTAAGAATCATCTTACACGATTCTGTGACCCTTATCATGGGGCTTTCCTGTTGGCTCAGATTGTAAAGAATCTGCCTGCAGTGCAGGAGAGCCAGCTCTGATCTGACGGTCCAAAAGATCCCCTGGAGAAGGGAATGGCTACCCACTCCAGTATTCTTGCCTGGGAAATCTCATGGACAGAGGAACCTGATGGGCTATACAGTCCATGGAGTCCCAAAGAGTGGGCCACTATGGAGTCACTATCACTTTTTCTTACTACTCATATAAGGTTATATAAAATCTTCCCATCTGTACATCTGTACATTTTGGAATGTTTTCGTGTCAATCACTAAAAAATGCTTCTCCTAAGCTACTAAAATGCTGCATGTCTCTGTGCAGGTATGCATGTTGAGTGCGCATGTGAAGAGTAAGCAGTAATTCATTCATTCAGGTCTTAGGTTTGGTACTGTTTGGTCATGCACATATGGCACTTATGAATGTGTCTTTCCCTTTAGGCAAAGAGGATGAATTTCCAAAGAAACCTTTGGGGCAGCTTCCCCCTGAAGGTCAGTCGGCTGGTGTCACTCACCTGAGCAATGGACAGAGGAGCGTGGGCAGGTCGAGTCCTCACCCTGGCGGTCGGAGAGGAAGCGGCTCGCCCCACAAGAACCACGACCCTTCCCCGCCCCACCCACGCCGGACCGGCACCCCGGAGAGGGCGAGGCAGCAGCGGCGGAAGTCGTCGGACGAGGAGGGTAAGAGGCTTCGCGACGAGGCTGAGGCGCAGGCGCAGAGGAGACTCCCGCCGGCCGCCCAGGACGGCTCCGGGCAATACAACCACGCGGCGGCCAATCAGAACAGCAACGCCACCTCGCGCGTGCGGAAGGAGTTCGCGCCCCGATGGCACAAGCCTTCCGAGGCTGCAGTTCTGGAGAAGACCACCAGGTCCGCCGTGGAAGGCCGGAGCCGGGCCGCACCACCCGCGCTCGCCGACCCGCGGGCCCCACACATGAGGCAGCAGACGAAGGTGCTGGACGCAGAGGAGGGCAAGCGCGGCTCCACCGCCTCGCAGTATGACAATGTGCCTGAGGACGGTCCGGGCGGCGCTGTGGAGGAGGCGCTGGAGCGCGCGCGGGCGCAGAGCCCCCGGAGGCCCTCCGAACCCGGCGCCAGCCCGTCCAGGGCCCCGCCCAAGTTCGCGTTCAAAGTCCTGCCTACGAGTTACGCCCCGCACCCGTTCCTGCCAGACGGGGAAGACCGCGGGGCCTCGCACCCCCCTGTGTACAGTAACCCCCCCACCTACCAGGGCAGCTCTCCAAAACGGGTCCCTGCCGCCAACAGCAGCTTCCCGTTCCCCCCTGGGGCGCACACGAATCCTTCCCGGAGACCTTACGGCTCCGCGCTTCCAGTCAGCGCTTCTCCAGAGAAATCTCACAGCCGCCCGACTCCTCTGGTCCAGCCGTCGAGTCGCATAGAAGTTCTCCCTGTTGATCTTGGTGCCGGCGGATATTCGGGCAATTCAGGGTCCCCAAAGAATGGGAAATTCATCCTTCCTCCAGGGGATGGATTGCCAGATAACAGAAAATGGTCAGAAGTTGGTTACACGTGGAGACCAGAGATGCACGGACAGCCGTGGACAAGAGATGTCAACCGTGGCCACTTGAGCAGTTTCCCAAGACACCCCACGTTTCACCACACCCCCTATCAGGACCACGCCCTCCCCGCAGTCTCCGTAGATGGTCCAGTGCGGTATAGAACTTCCCCAGCTCTGGAAGACGCCACTTCACCCGGGTTTCAGTATTCAGGGTCCTCACCTCCAGCGTATCACTACAGAAATCGGGATGGACTCTCTATTCAGGAGTCAGTATTGCTGTAAGAATTCATCTGTACTTGCTGCAGACAAGAGAATAGAAACCGTATGAGACCTGAATTGCTACGTTTATAATTGCCAAAGCAGTATTTTATACAATTGTAAAGAACTCGCACAGTTCTCATGTATGTCAGTAATAAGAATATATGGAAGTGATTTCATCCCCACCTAGATGCTGCCTAACGATGAGCTTTTAACGTGCATCATCACTGAACCCATTAAAAGGAATTTAACCTGGAAATATAGCAATAGCATTTAGGGATGCACGCACAGTTTCATTTATATCTTTCTCCAAAATCTGAATATTTGTACTCTCTTAGCCCATTCTATTTTGAGTAATGTTACAAAGCACTGAAAAGCAGTAGAATAGGTATTTTTAAGGCTCTATCTAGTGTATGGTGTTTTTTAATAGCTACTATATAGGCATCTACCCATATACAGTCAAACACAGAACTAAAAAAATGTTTGAAGAAAAGAACTTTCAATGTAGATCCATGGAATAATTTATTCTTCTTTTCCCTAACTTACCTTTTAGTCAAGTTTTATCCACCACCACCCCCCCTTGTATTTTTAACCCAGGTCCTAAACTGACTTGAGGGTTTGCCCTGACTTAATTCGGCGTCTCATGGAATGCTCAGCTTTCTCATTCAGTTTTCAATTTGAAAATTAAAGACATTGGAGAGGAAGGCTAACCAGTTAATGGTGCTTAAAAAATCAGTGCAGTTTAAGTTTTGTTTTCAGAAGTGCAGCACGCAGTGTGTCTGTGTTCACAGAGAAGTCAGCTTTCGTGTGTCTCTGCCTTTTTCTGGTCTGACTCCTGTAAAGCTCAGAGCAGAGTATGCTTGCCAGACGCCCAGAGAGTGTGCGCATAACTCTCCAGTGGATGCCAGCTGAAGTTGCAAGTTACCAATCATCAGTCACTCATAGCAGAACCAACTGCTTTGAAATTCATTTGAAAGCAGGATTAACAATATGGTCCTTTCTTTCTTCTGTCCCTTAAATTCCTGTGAAACCTCCCTACAAAGGGCAGGGTGATACTTACATGGTCTTTTCCTGGCCCTCTTCCTTTAAAGAATGTAGTCAGTGGATATTGCTGCTCTTAGGCCGTTAAATTATTGCTTTGTAAAATTGTAAAAAATGATTCTAAGTATTACTAGGAATCTCAGATTTTGGTCCTTTTTTTTAATAGCATGGCTATCATATTTTCAGAAATCTTTTTTGGTTGGTTGTTTCAGTTTCATGGTAACAAATCAGCAATGTCTTTCAGAATGTTCTTTTACACTACAATGACCAAAACGGCAACCAAGTTTTGGGCACTCCAAAAAAGTATGTCTTTGGATTTCATATCTATGACTTTTTTTATCTGTATACTTTTTTTGATGTGATTGTTTTTAACATGCTGAAGAAGTATATTTTGTTTGTGTCTTTTATGTGCTTTTTTCGTATGGCATCTCTGAGTTTTCTAAACCTTGTTCCCTTCTAACTGAGTAGATATGACCCAGTATTTGCCTCCATGCCTATATATATTGCAGTTCTATGTTACATGCTCTACTAGTTTCCAGTAATTGTGTATTTAGAACCATATCACCTGCCTTTATTTAATCAGCCATTTTTAATAGCTTACAAGTCTGTTAGTGTGTGAAGTTCACTCAGTTGTGTCCAACTCATTGCTATCCCCATGGACATATAGTCATGGAATTCTCCAGGCCAGCATACTGGAGAGGGTAGCCTTTCCCTTTTCCAGGGGATCTTCCCAACCCAGGGATTGAACCAGGTCTCCCACATTGCAGGTGGATTCTTTACCAGCTGAGCCACAAGGGAAGCCCTTTTAATAGCAATAAGGTATTATTATTTTCAGTTTTCCCCCATTGTGAAATGTAGCTGTTGGTTTTTCAAGTAGGAAAATTTAATTTGAACTTATTTTGCCACCATCCAGTTTTACTCTTTCAAATTTATCTTTTAATAAAAGATAAATAATGAAATGTTAAAAGATGGAATAATATTCATATAGGAGATTAAGTATATTTAGAAAAAATCTGGTAAGGATATTCATTTTTTTCTCTAGATATATACGAGGTAAATATTTTACCACCGTTAAGTCTTTTCTTCATAGCAGTTTTGCTTAACACAGTAAGCACTTTGATATAGTTTATATATTTTAATAGTTTGAAAAATTAAAGAACCTAGACCTAGTATCTCAAAGAGTTTTAAAACTTAAACTCTTCCAGGTGCTTATGTTGTTTCCAGGACGTTTAAAACAGAAGACAGCTTTGGGAGCCGACAGATGTCTCTGCTGTCAAACCAGACATCCAGGGGAGGAACAGAATTACTCTCCTCCTGCCCTCTAGGTTCTCCATCCAGACCTTGTAGATTGGGCTGATAAAGGACAGACAAGCAGGAGAAAGGCAACCAGAAGGTCATTAACATGTGTGTCCCGCCTTCGCGTGGTATCCAGTTGCTCCAAGGGAGGGTTAGCTTTCCCCAACTAAGCTTTCTCCACCCAGCTTAGTTGGGGAAAGGGATGGGGAAGAAGGCACTTAAAAGCAAATGACTTTCTAGAAAATAAATGGGCCGTTAGCAAAGCAGATAGGAGAAATGATCATTTGTCCTGGGGGGCTGAGTGGGGTGTCAGAAGAGGAGATTATGAAGTTGCCTGGGGAGTGGATTTATGACAATTGCATTCTTTGGGAAGGCTCTGCTTTTAGGCAGGTAAAGGATTTCAGGGACTCAGATAACTTCAGCTCAGAAATCATTCGTACCCCCAAAGTGGCATGCTTTGGGGTGGCAGGTCCTGATCCCCTTCACCATCAATGACAGAATGTTTCTCTAAGGAAGGAAGAGAGATTCAGTCAGTGGGACATCTCCAAAGAAGAAAAATAGATGTTTACAGGATGTGATATGATTGTTTTAACTTTTTTTCATTTTAAGAAGATTCTGATACTAAGTGTTATGTCACAGTGAGTGTCACTTTATATTTGTAATCATTTCCGATCTTTGTCTCAGGGCTCGTTACACCATAAGCACAGAAATGATGCCTCGTCAATATTTCGCTAAGATCTCTTTTCTTTACTTTTTTTATGATTAGAGAAAAACATTCCAGGTCCACAAATAGGGCTTTATTCACAGAGGATCTACAGCTTAATCTTTTGGAAATATTATTACTTCTCAGTTATCTTTTAGAGTCACGCCTTTGTTTTCAGATGTTCTTGATTATGGGTTATTTAAGATTGGTTTTGGCAGTCTGTTTCTTTGTTTTAATTGTCCTTTAATGGATTTTAAATTTCATTTCTAATACTAACATTAATACTTAGCGATCAGACAGTTTTAATAAGTCAGACTTAACTTTTACAATGACCTAAGGTGTTGAGAACAGGAAGAAAGGATTCCATTTAATATTTTTTTGTGAATTGTACTCTCAGAAGGGTTTCAGTTACCGATAAATCTAAGCATAACTGCCACCATTTTATCAGTAAGAATCCTGAAACATAGAGGGAAAAAATAACAGATTTCATAGGAGTGGATCTTGACCCCTGCTGCTCGTTAAAACTAATTGGGGAATTTTTTTTTTTAATCAATTGTATATTCCCACTGTGAGCTGTCTCAAAAATTCTTAACAGACCCGTTTCAGACTTTCGAAACTGATTTCGGGTAAGTTAGGAAAATTTTGACTGGAAAGATGAACATCCCCAGCCATCTCGTGTTTCTGATGAACTGCTGGCAGTGGTGGGAAGTGGCAGTGACTTCAGCCCAAGGCCAGACCCTGTGCTTCCTCTCATCACCTCTTACAACAGTTCTTCCAGATAGGTCGAGCCTTACGAGGATTTCCATTTTCCTGGATAACTTCTGTCACTTTCCTTAAGTGACCTGCTGAAAAGAAGCCCAAGCTGTCAGGAAGCCCATGGAGAAGCCGAGAATGTGCTGCACTCTGGTGTCCACACCTGACCAGGCAGCATTTCATTGAGCCCCTACGGTGTACTAGTTGCCTTGGGACTGGGCTGGGTTCATACTTCAGGATAGGAGGTGCGTTTTATAGTCTGTGTCTCCGTTCAATGTTGGCGATGGGACGTGTACAGGTGACCATTGTGGGCGCAGAAGAGCCCAGTGCTGGAGGGTCTGGGAGGGCCTATGCGGGAGAGTGCTCAGAGTAGACGGACTGAAGGGAAGGGGAGGGGCGTTTGGAGAGAAGGGATGGACGAGCAATCTCATGGCGTGCGCGCGCGCGCGTGTGTGTGTGTGTGTGTGTGTGTGTGTGTGTGTGTCTGGGATAGGGTGGGAAAGTCTGCAGAGACCTGCCCTGGGGACCTGTGTGCCCTATGGAGGCAGATGTAGGGGTACAGGCCTGGGGGAAGTTTGGACAGTTGCAACAGGTGTTATTTCTAAAAGGTGGCACAGATCTCAGCACCAGGGGAGAAATGAACAAGGAAAGGTGGTGAGCTTGAGAACTATTTACCAAGTAAAAATCGGCGAAGCTTGATAATCAATTGAATGTAATCATAACAATTAAGGATAATAGCTAACATTGCTGAATGCTCGCTGTGTGTCTGGCATTGTGCTAGGCATATTACCTGTATTAACTCAATTCTCACATTAACTGAAGTGTATGACCTTAATTCCCAGTTTACATATGAGGAAACTTAAGGCCCAGGAGTTGAAGTGATTTGCCCCAAGTTATGCAGCTGGTAGGAAAAGAGACCCAGGCAGGACTTGAATCTGAGTCTAGGACTTCCATTCCCTCACTGACAATTTTAAGAAAGTATTACTTAACCTACCATAAAATTCACCCATTTAAGTATACACATCAGTAAGCTTTCAGAGTTGTGCAACCATCATAGCAAACCAATCTTAAAACATTTCCATTACCTCAGAAACTCTCTTTTCCCCATTTGCAGGACCCATTCCCACCCACAGCTTCAGGCAACTGTTAATCCACCATCTATCTTTCTGATTTGCCTTTTCTGGACCTTTCATAGAAATGGAATCAAGCAATATTTGGGGTTTTTTGCATCTGGCTTCTTTTGCTTTTTGAGGTTCATCCATGGGTAGCAAGTGTCAATATCCACTTTCTTTATTGCTGAATAGGATTCTGTTGTATGACTATCACATTTTGTTCCTCAAGTCACCAGTTGATAGACATTTGGATTATTTTCACACGTTTGTGTCAAGTTTGCGGG